GGCGTCAGGCGGGCTGGGAGCGGTGTCAGGAGGGGCTTGGAGGCGGGGTGGCGGCGTCAGGCGGGCTGGAGCGGTGTCAGGAGGGGCTGGAGCGGCGCTGCGGATGGAGGAGAGGAGAAGAGAAGGAGAAGAAAGAAGAAGGAGGGCGTCCGGCGTTTAAAACCCTAAATTTTGCGACCGACTAATCGGTCGCAAATTTTAATTCTGCGACGTCGTTTTACTTCACGACAAAATTGTGACCGATTTGCGACTCAAACTGTCGATCGCAATTATGTCGCCAATCGGTCTCAGAACTTATTCCTAATTTTGAAGCGCGCAATTTTGCGACGGAAAAATATGTAGTTGCAAATCAGTCGCAAAATCGGTCGCAAATCCGTAGTACAAGGGTCGCAAACTGAAAATCAAAATCGCGGGAATTTTCAGCGCTAAAATCTGCGACTGTTTGTCTATAGGTCGCAAATCGGTCGCAGATTTTAGTCGGTCGCAATTTGGCGTTTTTTTTGTAGTGAGTGTTGAGCCAAGGAAAATGAAATGGTGGTGGCTAGGGTTTGTTTGCAATACATATGTTTCTCTTCTTTAAATCAGCGGTTGAGATTAGATTAGGTTTGATCAAATGGTTCTACTTCATTCTCACTAAAAGCGCTTAATATTCCCACATTTTCCTCACTTCTTTTTCATTTTTGTGCAATCATAACTTAAATCATTGTTTTAATATTTATTCTTTTCCCCATCTCTATACATTTATTTACCTTTATAAACCTAGTCAACCTAAATTACCAAAATGCCACTAACATGCAAATTTGCAACACTGTTTTATTTTCAATATTACAACAATACCATTAGTGTAGAATTGTCAAAATGCCACTAACCTGACTTTTAAAATGTACTTTGTAATGAGCAATTGTTCTAGAAAAAGAACTATGTTTTTGAGCTGAAAATGAGCTTGTATTTATATTGGTTTGGCTAAAAGGGGGATTAGTGCGAAAATCAATGCGGGTTTACAAGCCTAACCGCTACCCTTTGGAGGTCCAGCTGCCCTGCTTTGGGTAATTAACTACAAGCTGGCGCTTGAACTGCCAAAGACCGGCGGTTGTCCTTCCTCATAGTTTTCGTTAGGGTTTTCTAGACTTTCTAATCCGGTTTGACTCAGTTTTGGCTTGGTTTAAGTGGTTCGAAGCCCATTTGACCTCCAATTTTGGCCCTGAGGTACCGTTAGAAAGCTCTTGATGTTTATTGTCCATTTGAATTGACTTTTTGCGAAAACTCGACCTGGATGAGGTGTTATGTCAAAATCAATACAAATTACCAATCTATGTAGCACTAATTTGTAGTTCACTCAGTTTAGATTTTGTTTGATGGATTTTTTAGGTTTGGTTAGAATATCCGGGGTGTAAAATTTAGATGTTCACAAAGATAAAGTTAGTTGCATTAAATACAATTGTTTATTGAATAACTATAAATGAGACCATCCCTTTGAATACAAAACAAGCTTCAACTGATTAAAGCCCAATTCGAACCCTTCGAAACACTGAGGATCTATTCGGTAGTAGCGTTTCAGATAGCTTTTAGCTTTTTGACCAGAGTCAAAACACTGTCTTTGTTAATTACATCATTTGGTAATATGATATTGGCAATAGCTTTTAGTGGTTGTGTAACGCCCTATTTTTCCTGTGTTTGAAATAGTGGTTTACTGGTCTGTAAATAGTACCACCGGTCCGGGAGTCGGTATTTTTTTTTTGTCCGGAAAAATTACTATATATGTTTTATATTTTATTTAATATTTTTGGAGCATGCATGCATGGTTTTATGGGTAGAAAGTCGTAATGAATATTTTTGGAGAATTTAGATAATTAGTGAATAGTGAATTGTGGTGTTATATAAATTAAGGAAGTTTGAGGAACTATTTTTATGGAGTAAATTTGAGAATTTTGTGGAGATAAATAATATTTTGAAGGAATTTAATTGGAAAATATTTGGTGGAGATAAATAATATTTTGAAGGAATTTAATTGGAAAATATTTGTAGCCATTAGATTAGATTACTATTGACTCAATCCTAGCCATCTAATTACGGGAAAAGACCAAAACACCCTTTAGTTACTTTATAAAAGTCAACCTTCAATTATTGACCAACCACTTTTCCTCTTCTTTTTCTTCTTCTTCTTCTCCTTAGGCGTGTTCTCCTTCTTCTTCTTCTCCTTGATTTTCTTCAATTCTTACTTACTAAAAACACCAAATACACTCCATTAAACCTTAATTAAGTAATTAATCTTAGAGAGTGAAGCTAGAGAAGTGATATTTGGTGACAAATTTCCAGAAATTTGGTGATTTTCCTACTTGGGTCAAGTAAGTGCAAGTAAGTGATTTATGATAATTTCATTATTTTTGGGTTTAGAGTTTTCCTTTTAGCATATACATGCTTAAATCATGCTCCAATTTCTTCTTTTTTATATGCTCCAATTTCTTCTTTTATTTGTTTTCTTTGTTTTGATTTTGAGTTTCTTACATGTAGAGGGTGAAGAGCCTTCTACCAAAGATAAAGGCAAGACCAAAGCTTAAGGAGCTTTGATTAAAGCCTACTAAAGCTTGTTTTGAATGTTAGTGTTCATAAACATACTTACCTTACTTCTATTTTTAAACTTGTGCACTTATGCTATTATGTGTATATTTTGGGACTTCGTATGAAATGATTTGTTTGTTGAACCTTGGTTGTATAAATGTGTTCTTGGGTGTTTTCTAAGCATGCCTAATTGGTGTTTGATGAGTATTTAGTTTGTGGTAGAAATCTCTACCTTGTATCTTTTGTCTTTCATGTTCTTTTCATAACCAAAGTAAGCTGAATTTGGAGAAAAGTGTTATTGGGTGAGATTAAAGGCTATTTTTCGATCCTTTTTATTTTCTATTTGTGTCTAAGCCCTTCCTAAACGTTGTAGGTCTACTTCCTAGCTTTCCAACCCATCCTCTTGTGTCCAATTTGGATATATATAGCTCAACTTATGGCTAAAATACCCAAATTGACTCTGTTATGCCGAGCCACATGCATCTCTGAGTTGAGTGCCCATTTTTACCACTATAATGGCAAGATTATGTTTTGAGTTCTTCATAAATTTGTTGCCCAATTTCTTGAGACTTCCCTAGTTTTAGATTGGTTTAATTTGAGTGTTTGGTTAAGTAGGAAATTAATAAAAATTGGACTTGGTTCTACTGAATCAGGTCTAGACTATTGGTCTGTGTTCCTAGCTTTTGTTTTCTATCTTACAAATTGATCTGGGCTGTGATCCCTCATAAAATTTATACTATTTTGTCTTAGCTTTCTAATGAATCTAATTTCATTCAATTCGGAGACCTATAACTCAAGTTATGTTTTAAAAACACAGCAAATGTCAAGGTTACTTTTATGCTGGAAATTTCCTATGTTAAGTGATTTTGTTTAAGTATGAGAATTTTCATGAATTACTTAAGTTTAATGAAGAATTTTCCATGAATTAACGTAAGTTTAAAATTTAGATTTTTTCATTATGATTTTAAGAGATAAACAGAAAAATGAGTGAAATTTTAATATGAGAAACAATATGAATTAAGAATCTAAAAACAAGAACTAGGCTCTATTATATCTTGGCGTGAATTTGTTTGCATGATATGATTGATTTATTATGTAAGATGAGCATGCTCGGCATTTGATGCCGTTATGATAAGAAGCTATGATCATATGCTAGGCACGTGGATGTCTTATGTTAGGGTAGATGTGCTCTATATGTTATGATAAGTTGGCGACTTAAGACCATTATGAATAAGCTATGAAAACCTCTCTGCTTCTTTTTCTCCTGAGTGTATGCAAGCCCCTTTGGAAAATATTTTAAGGAAATTAAATTAAAGAGATTGCATTATTTTAGCAAAATGGTAGAGTAGAATAATTATTTATGTTATTCATTGTAAGTTTACTTGATATTTCTTATCCTATAAATGTTAATGCATCTTGGAATTTAATGATTCTATGAATATAAATGATTTTATGAAGTTTGTGGTTTAAGTATGTTGTCATCACAACATTGGTTTTAAGTATGTTGTCATCACAACATTGGTTTGTTGTGTTTTATGAGCACCACTGAGTTTTATACTCAGCGTGTTGATTTTATCACGCGCAGGTTGGAGTATGTGTTTGCTGCTTGAAGACCAGAAGAGTAGCATCAGAGCTCAAGAGATATTTTAGTAGTTGATTAGTGTTTTATGTAACTAAGAATTATGGCATTATTAAGTATTACATTTTTGGAGACTATATTATTTAATTTATGACTTAAGCAAGTTATTGTAAATTATTTTGGTGTATATAAATTATTTTGGTGTATATATTGGGAGATAAACTTGGAACTTATTTAATGGTTAGAACATTAGAAGTTGATATATTTAAATGAATGTATTTAATTGATGCATATTAAAATGTTATTGAAGAATTATGTAGTTATGAAATTATTGAAGTGTTGTTGTGCTGTTATTGGAGTTTGATGGGGGTTTGGAGTTTGAATTTGAGAGTGTTTTGTATTCACATGTTTGGTGACTTCTATTTTTAAGGGAAACTCTTACAGTTTTTCTGTAGGATTCTCCCAAATCATTTTCAAAAAAAAATTATTACTTGCTAAACTTCTGAATACTAAGTCACTTCTAATTCATAATATGATTATATGATTTATATGTAGGTTAGGACGGTGCCTTCTGCACCAAATGTGGCATCCGCAGTCAGGTCTCTCGGGATTGGGCAGTGGGTGTTACATTTAGTGGTATCAGAGCATAGGTTTAGGCGGTTCTAGGACTATATGCATATATGGGAATTTATCTATTTTGAAGTGAGAGTATGTATGAGTAATTTAGTTAAATACATGCCAATATTGAATTGGTTTGGAAACTTCTCTCAGTATGAGTAATTTAAGTTAAATACATGCCATATTGAATTGGTTTGGAACTTCTCTCTGATGCGAACCTTTTGGTCTTTGTAGGAGTTGAGTGATGTCTCAACACCTATCTAATGAAGAGGTGGATAGTTATGTCCCTCCTAATGGTGGTATTGCTGTTGGTGATGTCGCTAATGGTGCTATGGGTTCTGATGCGGAGCACGCCTCAAGGGTGGGGCAGGCTGCTGCAGGTCCTGCAGGGCCTAACCAGGATATGTTTTTTCAGCAGTTAGTTGCTGCTTTGAGGCAGGCAGCGAGAGCTGTTCCCCAGGCTCCAGTTGCTCCAACCCCTATTCCAGTTCGTCCCCCTATTGAGAAACTAAGGAAATATGGAGCTGTTGAGTTTAGGGGTAGAAAGGACGATATGGCTTCTGCGGCAGAGTATTGGCTTCAATCTTTAGAAAGGATATTGGAGAAGATGCAATGCTCACCTATAGACAGTTTGGTTTGTGCCACTTCCTTATTGAAGGAGGAAGCTTATCAATGGTGGACGACGGTATCACGGATAGTTGGTGTTGAGCAGAGGACTTGGAACTTCTTTCTTTCTGAGTTCAGACAGAAATACATTGGAGAACTCTATATTGATCAGCGTAAGGCAGAGTTTCTGGAGCTTAAGCAGGGCAGGATGACTGTGTCAGAATATGAGAGAGAGTTCATCCGGTTGAGTAGGTACGCTACATATATGATTCCTACTGAGTTGGAAAGATGCAAGCGCTTTAGGAAAGGCTTGCATGATGAATACAGAATGCATCTGGTTATTCAGCCTCATACATCATTGTCTTCCCTAGTGAAGGCAGCCTTAGAGCTTAAAGAAGTTAGGAATGAGCAGTAGGGTCAACAGAAGAGATTTCAGGGTATGGTATCTAGACAGACTTTTGAGGCTCAATCCAGCAGTAAGAGGTATAGAGGTGCACCACAGACCGGATCTAGACCGGTTCAGAGGCATGGTTAGGGCACTTATGGTAGATTAGCCTCACAGACTACATCTGTTGCTAGTGGTGGAGGTACTACATGGATCAATATACCAACATGTGTTCAGTGTGGTAAGAGGCATCCTGGAGGTTGTAGGAGATTTTCTGGGGCATGCTTTCGTTGTGGGTCTATAGAGCATATGCCTCGAGACTGCCCTATGACTTTGGCTAGTTCAGCTCCACGAGTAGGGAGGTCAGCTCCTTTTGTTCTGAGAGGCAGAGGCAGAGGCAGAGGCCGTGGTGATACAGTAGGCACTGGGAGTCAGAGGTTGGTTTCGGAGACAGTGGATAAACTTGAGGCTAAAGCACCTGCTAGAGCGTATTTTATCAGGACTAGGGAGGAGCAGGATGCCCTAGATGTTATAGTTGGTACATTCTCTATCCTTGATATTTCTGTACATGCTTTGATTGATCCTGGCTGTACGCATTCATATTTATGCATACATATGGGTAGATTGGGTAATATACATGCTGACATGTTAGAGCATATGAGGTTACTAATCCCTTGGGTCATAGTGTGATAGTTAATTGGGTGTATAGGGATTGTCCATTGGCAATATATGGCCATGTGTTTTGGGAGATCTGATAGAGTTGCCATTCCGGGAGTTCAATGTGATATTGGGTATGGATTGGTTATTTAGATATGGAGTTATGATTGATTGTAGACTTAAGAGGATTACACTCCAAACTTCATGGAGTTATGATTGATTGTAGACTTAAGAGGATTACACTCCAAACTTCATCTGGTGAGGAGATTGTAGTTGTGGGTGAGAGGTCGGATTACCTCTCTATTGTTATTTCTTCTTCTACTGCTAAAAGACTGATCCAGCATGGTTGTGAGGCATACTTAACCTGTGTACTTGCTCTAGAGTCAGAATCTCCTAGTGTGCAAGATATACCCACAGTATATGTTTTCCGGATGTGTTTCCAGAGGAGTTGCTTGGTTTACCTCCTAAGAGAGAGGTTGAGTTTGGTATTGAGCTTATGCCTGGTACTCCACCGATATCCATTGCTCCATATCGAATGGCGCCTACTGAGTTGAAGGAGTTAAAGATATAGATTTAGGAGTTGCTTGATAAAGGTTTCATTCGTCCTAGTGTATCTCCATGGGGTGCTCCAGTATTGTTTGTAAAGAAGAATGATGGATCACTGAGATTGTGTATTGATTACAGACAACTTAACAAAGTTACAGTGAAGAATCAGTATCCATTACCTTGGATAGATGATTTGTTTGATCAGTTAAGAGGAGCTAGTGTGTTCTCGAAATAGATCTGAGATCGGGTTACCACCAGCTGGGGGTTAAGGAATCAGATGTACCTAAGACTGCTTTCAGGACACGTTATGGTCACTATGAGTTCTTGGTAATGCCATTTGATTTGACTAATGCTCCTACAGTTTTCATGGATTTGATGAACCGAATCTTTCATCCTTACTTAGATCAATTTTTAGTTGTATTCATTGATGATATCTTGGTATATTCTCATACTAGAGAGGATCATGATCACCATTTGTGAATTGTACTTCAGATATTGAGAGAGAGACAGTTGTATGCTAAGTTCAGTAAGTGTGAATTCTAGTTATCTGAGATTGCTTTCTTGGGTCACATTATTTCTATTGAGGGTATTAGAGTTGATCCAAAGAAGACAGAGGCAGTGCTTGAATGGAAGCCACCTAAGAATGTTATAGAGATTCGGAGTTTCTTAGGAAGGATTGGCTGGTTATTATAGAAGATTTGTCAAGGGATTTTCTCTCATTGTGGCTCCTTTGACTAGACTTCTTCGAAAAGATGTCAGATTTGAGTGGACTAATAACTGTCAGAATAGTTTTGAGAAGCTTAAGGCAATGCTTACTAAGGCTCCACTGTTGACACAGCCAGTTTCGGGTAGACTGAATGATGTGTATAGTGATGCTTCACATAATGGATTGGCTTATGTGCTTATGCAGGAGGGTAAGGTAGTTGCTTATGCTTCTAAACAGCTTAAACCACACGAGAAGAACTACCCTACTCATGATTTGGAGTTAGCAGCTATAGTTTTCGCTTTGAAGATTTGGAGGCATTACTTGTATGGTATGGTGAGAAATGTCATCTGTATATGGATCAATAAGGTTCTCAAGTATCTGCCTTACTCAAAAGAGCTTTAATCTGAGACAAGCGCAGATGGTTAGAGCTACTTAAGGACTCTGACTTCACCATTGATTACCATCCGGTAGCCTACTGTGGTAGCAGATGCACTTAGTAGGAAGTCCTTAGTTGCTTTACTGCTAATGAATACTCGATTAGTCTATAGCTAATAATGGTGCACCTCGTGGCAGAGCTTAATGAGTTTAGACCGTGGCCCTACTTCAGCAGATTCGAGATGCATCAAGAGAGATGATGAGAACGATTGTTGTGGAAGTAGAGATGGAGAGGAAAAAGAGATTTATAATTAAAATGGACGATTGCTTGTACTTGGTGACGATTTGTGCCTAAAAATTCACGAGCTGAGACAGAGTTATCTTAAAGGAAGCTCATAGTAAGTCTTATTCTAATGCATCCTGGAAGAATAAGGATGTATCAGGATTTGAAATCATAGTAATTAAGTGGCCGGCGATGAAAGAGGGATATCACAGATTGTGTGTTCGAGGTATGACATGCCAGCAAAGTTAAAGCAGAGCATCAGATTTCCTTCTGGAATTGTTACACCCTACTTCTATTCCAGAGTGAAAAATGGGATTAAGGTTACTATGGATTTTGTGACCTGGGTTACCTTTAACTCCTAAAAAAAGATGTTGTATGGGTAATTAGTTTTGACAGATTAACTAAATCAGCACACTTTCTTCTTGTAGGACCAGACTTCACCCATGGAGCAGTATGTAGAGGCTTTTATATAGATAAGATAGTGAGATTGCATGGGGTTCCTCTTCCATCATTTCAAATAGAGATTCCAAAGATTTACTTCTACATTTGGAAGAAGCTACATGAGGCGCAGGCCCTGGGTACTAAGTTGAATTTCAGCACAGCTTTTCATCCTCAGATAGATGGTCAGTCAGAGCGAGTTATTCAGATTTTGGAGGATATGTTGAGAGGTTGTGCTATTGAGTTTGAGGGCAGTTAGGAGAAGTACATTCGACCTGCAGAATTTGCCTACAATAACAGTTATCAGTCGAGCATTTAGATGGCTCCTTTTGAAGCACTGTATGTTAGGAGATGAAGGACTCCACTATGTTGGTCAGAATTGAGTGAGGGCAAGATGGTAGGTCCGGATTTGATTCAGGATACAAAGGAAAAGGTCAGAATTATAAAAGATAGATTGAAAGTAGCTTCAAATTGTCAGAAATCTTATGCAGACTTGAAGAGGAGAGATATAGAGTATGAAGTGGGAGATAAGGAGATAAGGTTTTCCTTAAGGTATCTCCGTGGAAAAAGATATTGAGATTTGGAAGAAAGGGTAAGCTTAGTCCTAGGTTCATTAGTCCATACGAGACCATTGAGCATGTGGGTCCATTGGCCTATAGACTAGATTTACCCCAGACTTGGATAGGATACATAATGTTTTCCACGTATCTATGTTGAGGAGGTACCGATCCGACCCATCACATGTGATATCAGTGGAATCTGTGACTATAGAACCAGATTTAACCTATGAGGAAGAACGAGTGAGGATACTTGCTAGAGAAATCAAGGAACTAAGGAATAAGAGAATTATTTTGGTAAAGGTTCTTTGGAGAAACCATAAGACCGAGGAAGCTACATGGGAAAGTGAAGATATTATGAGACAACAACATCTTCAGTTGTTTAATTCAGGTGAATTTCAAGGACGAAATTCTTTAAGGGGGGAGAGCTGCAACGCCCTATTTTTCATGTGTTTGAAATAGTAGTTTACCAGTCTATGAATAGTACCACTGGTCCGGGAGTCGGTATTATTTTTGGCCTGAAAAAATTACTATATATGTTTTATATTTTATTTAATATTTTTGGAGCATGCATACATGGTTTTTATAGGTAGAAAGTAAGTAATGAATATTTTTGGAGAATTATATTTTGTTGGAGAATTTAAATAATTAGTGAATAGTGGGAAATTATGTGTTATTAATTAAGGAAATTGAGGAATTATTTTAATTATTTTTATGGAGTAAATTTGAGAATTTTATGGAGATAAATAATATTTTGAAGGAATTTAATTGGAGAATATTTGTAGCCATTAGATTGGATTACTATTGACTCAATCCTAGCCATCAAATTATGAAAAAAGACCAAAATACCCTTTAGTTGCTTTATAAAAGTCAACCTTCAATTATTGAACTACCACTTTTCCTCTTCTCCTTCTTTTTCTTCTTCTTCTCCTTAGGCGTGTTCTCCTTCTTTTTCTTCTCCTTGATTTTCTCCAATTCTTACTTACTAAACACATCAAATACACTCCATTAAACCTTGATTAATTAATTAATCTTAGAGAGTGAAGCTAGAGAAATGATATTTGGTGACAAATTTTAAGGAATTTGATGATTTTTCTACTTGGGTCAATTTTTCTACTTGGGTCAAGTAAGTGATTTATGATAATTTCATTATTTTTGGGTTTAGAGTTTTCTTTTAGCATATACATGCTTAATCATGCTCCAATTTATTCTTTTATTTGTTTTCTTTGTTTTGATTTTGAGTTTCTTACATATAGAAATTGGAAAGCCTTCTACCAAAGATAAGGGCAAGACCAAAGCTTAAGGAGCTTTGATTAAAACTTACTAAAGCTTGTTTTGAAGGTTAGTGTTCATAAACACACTTATCTTACTTCAATTTTTGAATTTGTGCATTTATGCTATTATGTATATATTTGTGAATACTCAAATTTTGAGGCTCAAAAAGCCAGTTTTCCCGGATTGCAAACAGTCCGGCCGGACCGGAGGTCGTTCGGAAAGTTCACCGAAAGTATGCCAGTATGCCCCCAATATGTAACTTGAAAACCTCCGGAAAATTACGAAATCACAAGAACTGGTCCCGGAATATTTTTTTGGAGGTCGGGAACTCCGGAAAAGCCCTCCGGAACGAAAAGACTAAAGCCAAGTCCCCGCCGGCCACGGCGGCGCCGATGCGCGCTGAGCACGGCGGCGGTGCAAGCCGGACGCAGTGGCAGAGGCCCGCCCTCCGAAGGCGGCAGCTGCCGCCCTCCGGCTGTTTTTTCCCTATAAATACAGCCCCGCACTTTCACATTTTTACTCACTCCAGTCTGTGTTGACCGGACGCTCCTTCTCCCCTAACGCTTCTCTTGCGATTCTTTACTTGCTTTTTTCTGCATTTTAGCGAATAGGCTTTTATTATTTTATTGTGGGGATACTTGGTCACTTAATTAAATAAATCCTAATTAATATTCCCCAAACGAGAAAGCTTAATTTGGGAGTTTCAAAGCTGAAGCTAAGAAGCGGTCGCCGATTTTAACTCAGGTAATAACTAAACCATGTCTATTATTTCAAGCATTTCATGCATATTTCCTCCTTCTATACCTAATTCTACAACCTGCATTCACAACCACCAATAAACATTTTGGCAGCAAACCTGCCTTAAAGTAAATAAAAGTTTAGGCTAAAATGCCCGGTTAATCAATAATCGTGGTATTAAAAGCCTAAATTACCGAACATATTTGGCTTAAAATATCTGGTCCAATCAATGAAACTAATTTGGTATAATCGCCTTTATTTGAACAGTCCAGCTTAAGTCCAATTAATCAATAATTGTGGCTAAATACCTTAATTAAACACGTTTCTTTTTGGCCAATACTTGCCTATATTACAATTCAGTTGATTAAACTTTTTTGCAAACAAATTGCCTATTAAGTGAGATTAAACCATTTTTTTTAGCGACAAAATCGCTTAAATCAAAGTTTTGGCAAACAAGATTGCCTAAATCAAATCTTTTGGCTAAAAAAGCATTCAAATAAAATCAAATTTTGGCAAAACAAATTGCCCTAAAATTACACATCAAATTTTTGCTAAAATGCCTTTTGAATTAATCAATCTTTTGGCTAAAAGCCTTAAATCAGTCATTTTGGCGCAATCGGCAATCACATTTTTTTTGGCAAACAAAATTGCCTAAATCAAATCTTTTTGGTCTAAAAGCTTACATCCAACACTGTTTGGCGACATAATGCCTAAAAACATCAAATCATCAATTCTTTGGCAAATGTCTAAACAAAATGCACGAAGCATACACCACACCATGCATTAAAGCATACCCATTCAAAGCCCTTTAAAAAAGCCCCTATCCGAAACTACGTTGACTTTTGATTCTTCCCATTCAAAACGGAAAGTGACGTAGGCCACGTTTCGGGATTTAACCCCGAGCGACAAATCGATCACTTAACATTTTTCATTGGTGGTCCCCAATTGATATCATTACCCTGCAAAGCATCCATTTCATGGTTTAGTTTCATCAACAGACATACGGTCTCCGGTTTATCACCTCGGGTACGAGATTGTGCCTTAGACTTTGGGATAATTAAATCTAATAATTAGGTTAATTAAAATTGGAGTCAACTAGGGTTTTTTCCTAAGTTTACCCTAAAATAAATTAACAAGGTTGGCGAATTGCAACACCCTTCCCGGTCCACACCCGTAAACCCGAATGAACCGAAACCGAGACGGCGCTACAAACTGGTTGACTTTTATGGCCTGTCCATGTGCCTGAAATCATAATGTATATTGAATATAATATCATGCTGATGTTGTCTTATTAAATAATGTACTAAATATTTACAAAATCATGATATCTAGTGTCAAATGGAATGGGCCAAGCAAACTGTGGTGCCCTGTACATGCCAGTAAAAAGGGTAGACAAACGATACACATCCAAATGAGTAGCTACCCTGAAGACTGAGTCCTTCTACAGATGAACTGCATGCAGTTGTAAGCTGATCTCCTATGGTCCAATCTCAAAACCTGCGAGTTAAACAGGTAACTCGCTGAGCAAATAAAGCTTCAGTGGATATCTCAACATATAAAGAAACAATAAGCACGATACATAGATAGAAATAAGCAATGTAAATGCCATAATGGATAATTAAAACATATAAAGCACATATAACATGATCCTTTCATTATACCTTGATTATCTTTCGTACTGTTTTGTAAATACTGTATGGATTCTGAATTTATGTCCAAGATATCTGTATGGCTCCATAAGGTTTATAGGTGAAACCGGAAGTGAATAGAAAAACTGTATGAACTGGATTGAATACTGTATGCTTGGCTGCTATGGCCATATATATCATAATCCACTCAACGCCTGTAGCCGGAGTATCAAACTGTAATGGGGTGCAGATCTGGCCTTATCCTAATGTCGCGAGCAATAGCCCTATCTAAAGTGGTTTTCTACCTAACTCAATGGAAAAAAAAGGGGCCCTAATGTTGGTAAAATGTCCAATAAATATAACAAAACATCATATTAATAGTTCATACTTCATAATCATAAACATGTTTTATTTGTTTCACATCATTTGGCATGCTTGCATGTTGTTTTGATACATGTTCTAATGTTGTATTTTGTTTTACATGATTGGAGGCATACAAGTTTGAGCCAAAGGAATCCCAATTGCATAAAAATGAAGTCCCCAAAAGTGCATGAAACACAAGTCGCGAGCGCGCCTATGGCAAAGTCACGAGCCGCGAGATGCAAAATGAGAGTCCATCGCGAGCGGCACAGGTGCAAGTCGCGAGCGCGTAAAGCACCAAATGAGAGTCCAGTGAGTTAATCGGCACAAGTCCGCGAGCGCGCAGTGCAAAGTCGCGAGCGCGAGATGTGCACAATGAGAGGCAGTGAGTTATCGGGCACAAGTTGCGAGCGCGCAGTGGAAATGTTAACGAGCGCGAGAAAGTTGCCCAATGAGAGTCAAGAGAGTTTCGGTGAGTCCGCGAGCGCGCAGTGGCAAATTTTCCGCGAGCGCGAGAAGTGCAAACGCGAGCTCATCATGCAAGTTCGCGCGCGCCTGCGTCGCGTTTTCCAGCCTGCTACACTTCTGTACTTCTTTTTGGTCAATATCTCTCAATATACAACTCCGATTTGGAA